ACATATGTAATAAATAATTACATATTATGACTCTTTGCTCTGCTGCGTTAGAAATTATTCATTTATGTGTGTGATGCAAGCAGATTATGATGAATGTGTTTTTTTTTTCGGATTCTCTTATATATATATATATATATTTCTTTCTTTACATGACGATGCCTGGAGATACTAAACTACAAAACCTAAGTAAACATACACGGGAAAATGTGAGTATATTATACACACACATACATACACCCATACGCACATGCACAAATGAAAAAAAGAACAGGAGATATGGCTAGGTATATTTACATTAGTGATCTAGTACCATTATCATACCATTGGCAAATGTGTCAGCAGGTGCGAATGAGCAGGTGTTAAAAGAAAAGGAAAAAATAAGCAGGATGCTAAAGAATACAAAAAGGGAGTAGGTGTATATACATACTGTAAGATACAGCTTCAGAAATTATATCTAGACACAGCTGCTTGTAAAAAGGTTGTGTTTGTGAGTTACAACATCAACGTCATGCAGTGACAAAGATATTCACGAGAGTAAAACGGAATGGATAGGGACTGAAAAGGGAATGACAGTAATAATGATAGTAATAATCATGAAAATAAGATGATAATAAGGAATTATGGTAATAATAGTAATAATGATAATAATGTTGATAACGATAATGATAATAATAATAATAATAATAATAATAGTAATAATAATAATAATAATAATAAAATTAACAACAACAACAACTAAAGTAATAATAATAATAATAGTAATAATAATAATAATAATGATATCAAAATAATGATAATAAAAATTATAATGAGAAGAATAAAAGTAATGATGACAATTACAATAATAGCAATGATAATAACAACAGTAATATTAAAATGCCATCGAATAAAACAACATAGAACGTATACATCCCAATTCTCCATAACTAATTCCTAACTCATGGGACAGCATTTCCCATCATACAAGGAGTGGTATCAAGTGACCAAAGCAAAGCCATGGTCATTTTAACACGTTCGTCTATGTTAATCACAAATGGGTAGAGTTAGGTTCAGTTGAGGTTGAGGTGAATAATTTGATTGGTTTACGTTTGTGATGGATGTTATGTTGATATCTAAGCAAATAACGTTGATAATAAGTGAGATAGGGAGGAGAGATTCACTTACACACTGCTGTGAAAATATATGAATGATGCCATCGATTTCCTGGACGTTTTATAAAGCCTAATGAAGATTTTTTTTTTTCGATATAAGAAACCCACATGAAGGTAGACAAAAGACTCATAATCTTCAGTGTTCCATACATAATAATTATAGGGTTGTTATAATACCTTGTCTGTCTTGTGCAGAATTATGTGACTCATTCTTTATGAAGCGAGTTGATTTCACTGCATGTTGCTTTCTTTTGCAATCAAGTAATCGAGATGCCTGTATTTCTTACGTGTGCATATACGTGAGTAGAAAAATGAAGGGAAGTACATGAAAACACGCGAATTTGCCGAAGGCCTTTTCGCATTTACTGCTTCATCAGCAGTAAAAGCGAAAAGGTCATCGGCATATTTGTGTCTTTTCCTGTACTTCCCTTCATTGTTCTACTTGCAATTTGTTCGACATGAATCCCATATACGTATGTGTACGCCGCACGAGTGTGTGTGTGTGTGTGTGTGTGTGTGTGTGTGTGTGTGTGTGTGTGTGTGTGTGTGTGCGCGCGCGCCCGTGTGTGTGTGTGTGTGTGTGTGTGTGTGTGTGTAAGTATATGTATACATATTCAATATGTTTACCTATATGTTTCCCTATCTTACCCTTTTTGGGGGGGGTCTTCCATCTTTCTCATTTTCAATGTTATTTGCGAAAGTAAGAGCATCGCACAGTTAAAAAAAAAAAAAAAAAAAAAAAAAAAAAAAAAAAAAGGAGACGCAGTTATATGCTTTGGGATGATACCAGAAACAATATCAAATCAATGGAAATTAAAACAACATGCATTTTTCTAACATTTAAAGAAGAAAGCCTGCTAAAATGACACAGGAGGGACACCATGCGTGGGCGTTCGTGTAAGCAGTATACCATTATGGTTACGAAAACGACAAGCCTACGATTCCTGGATGACAATGTGAGCTATAAAAAAGTCCTCAGAGATAAAGTGTTCTTTTTCTCTAACCAAGTAAACTGTCGTTGTGACACCATAGACAGGACCAGCATCTAACTGGTGAAAAGTATTTGCATGGCGCTCAACCTCATTTGTCGCGATGACGTCATAGGATTTCATCATCTGTGACGTCATGAAGAGAGGTGGAGCCAATGAGAGGTTCTGTGTTCTTGTGAACTGTTCGCCACCTGTATTTCAATGAGCTAGATATCTCTTACGTAAATCACTTCATTACGATTTATAACCATCGATGCGTAGATTCATATGGTCTACTCTTGCAGCTATGTCCGTCACTTCACTTCGAATGGGCTAAAATGAATTCCTTTGGCCACGTAAACACTTGAGACACGCATACGGAATTTTAATCAAGCCTTTTTTTTATTATTCTTTCTTTCTTTCTCTCTGCTTGTTTGCTTCTTTCTTTCTTTCTCTTCTTTTCTTTCTTTCCTTGCATGGTCTTCTGAGTTTCTTACACGTCAGCCTAATACAATTCAGTGATCCAAGACGCGTTCATCTCCTTCCTGCCATGAACTCTATTAATTTTCCTTTTCTGAACATGAAACAAAGTGAGGTGCCCTTGAAGAGATGGAAGTTGTCCTGAAATGATTTTTCATCTTTTCTTTACAACAATCTTCAGTGTCCTTTTTTAAGGGGCCCTAGCGTTCTGCACTTACATTGTAAAAGAAAGCTTTTTCTATACATTTCTATCTACGAATTTAATCATTCATTTCCACTGACTTTTTTCTCTTTTCTGTTTACGTCTCGTAAATCTTCATTGCACACCTTTTCAAGGTTTTGTTCACTTCATTTCCTTTATTCACAATTAAAGTAGCGAGGTTAGACAATCAGATTTATACAGAATTGCTTATCTGTAAGCTTTCTTGTTGACTTTTCTAAAGGTTAAATGAGCAAGTTGTGTGTGTGTGTGGGAGAGAGAGAGAGAAAGAGAGAGAGAGAGAGAGAGAGAGAGAGAGAGAGAGAGAGAGAGAGAGAGAGAGAGAGAGAGAGAGAGAGAGCAAAGATTTTCGTGCTCGTTTACCAAGCTTTTCATTGTCAACCAAGCAATTTACGACAACAATCACAATTAGGACAAACTTATAAGCATAATAGTTTTTTTCTCTCTCATTTTGGGAGAAATTCCCATCACATTCGTAACAAAAATTCAAACACTATTTGTTTTCCATTAATTTCAGCCTTAGTGCACAGAAAGACGAAATCACTTCTTTGTCCGTTCTTGAGTGCCCTGATACCGGTTCTCAGTGTAACAATATCAAATATACGTTATGAGAAAAGTTGAGTGGAACAATGAAATTCTGTTCTGGCTCTCCCGTTTCAACGTTTCATTTCCAACATGTAAAAGCACTTGTAAAACTGAATTCCTTTTTTTCTGGACATAAACATTGTATCCCGAAGTACGGCTCTTTGGAAACACTTCACTATGCATCATTGTGAAGTGTACAATCACTACTACGTCACTGTTTAGAGCGATAAGAGAAGAACACTGATCTATAATGGAGTGTAAAAATTAGGAGCCTCGCTCTGTAGGAACAGCCAAAGTAAACAAACGTGTCTCGCTTTTCCACTGTGATTTCCCGTGTAAAAAATAAATAAACAAATAAATAAATAAATAGAAAAGTTACTTGGGAGGATAATAAATCATATAACTATATTCTTACCTATAATGAAAATGATAATAGAGGAAAGGAAACTTCCTTTCGACCGCGCATGAGAGAGAGAGAGAGAGAGAGAGAGAGAGAGAGAGAGAGAGAGAGAGAGAGAGAGAGAGAGAGAGAGAGAGAGAGAGAGAGAGAGAGAGAGACAGACAGACAGAGAGACAGACAGACAGACAGACAGAGAGAGACAGAGGCAGACAGACAAACAGTGGGAAGAAAGAGAAAGAGAGAGAGAAAAAAAGGAGTGGACGACGTTGACAGGCGAATATCGAAAAAACTAGGTCGTTTCGATTCAACAGAAGATTCCCATAAAATATACAAATGCTTGGGAACCAGCTATCGTCTGAGCGGCATTCTTCTGACATCTGCCAGTCTGCTCAGCTATCAACCTCATCGAATATGGATATCATGGGGTATACTACTTTCGTCCTTAATCTAAGAGCTTCTTCTGTCGCTTCCTTTCCTCCTGGTTTTACGCTAAATGAATGTAAGAAAGAAACAAGAAAAGAGGTAGAGGCGAAAATATATACTGCATCTTCACATCATTCGACCAAAACGAGGGAATAAAATCACAGACTCCGAAAAGGATGCATTTCTAGTTCCATTTATTCTCCTTGACAGGCATAAATCACATTCCGGTTCTTGAGTAAGCAACACGGGACTAAGAGTGCTGACGAGAGCTGGCAATATTTATCATAATGCTCTTTGTTTCCTCTTTCACCTTTATATATGAGTGTTTTTTTTTCTTTTCTTTATTCCTTTTTCCTTTTCTTGTTTGTTTGTTTGTTTCTTTTTTTATTTTTTCTATTTTTTCTTTTTCTCTGGTTTCTATTGATTCTATTCAAATGTTTTCTTTTTTTTCTTCCTTTTTTCTTATATTTTAGCTTGTGTTTCGAAATACTGGCTTTCATCCACTTCCCCTGATGTCTTTATATCTTTCCATTTTTTTTTTCCTTCTTTCTTTTCCCTTCTCCTTCTTCTCCTCCACGTACTTCCTTCTACACCCACCATCATCACTTTCTTCCTCTCCTTCGCGGAAGATTCGCTTCCACAACCACCATACATTACTGACCCTTCCTTCCACACCCACCATACACTTTCAACACTTTCTTCCCTTTCTTCTTCCCCGCTTTCAATCTCATTCTCTCTCTCTTCCTCTTCTTCTTCTTCCAAAATCTTAGACTTCAGGCGCAGGATCTTGCCAGGAGGATCGAAGCAAAAGCCAGGATCGTCCATGCACTTGACAGCTGGCACCCTGCAAGAAGAGGAGTTACTCTGAGTCACAAAGTAATAGTGAAGTGATGAGTAGCAGAGGATGGGCTGATAGTGCATGAGGTAATGATGGTGAATAACAAAAAAAAACATGTGCAGTAGGAAGAATGTGAAGGGATGTGTAGGATGTGTATGAGTTCATAGTGGATGAGGATGAGAAGATAATGACATTGAATGGCGAGTTGTGAGTACTGGGATGAGAGTGCCAGGGTGAGGATGAGTCGATGAGTAGATGAGGAAGATAACATCATGACGGTATAGGACGAAATGTGAGTGGGGGAGAAGAGAGAGCAGGGGATTTGTATGAGTTAATAGATGAGGATCATTATATAATGAAAAAATGAGTGGTGAGGAAGAGAGATGAGGGAATATGCATGACTATACAGTGGAGGAGGAGGAGTTAATGATGGTGAATGACGAAATATAAAAACTAGAATGAGAGTGAAGGGATGTGGATAGTGAGACAATGATAGTGCATTATAGATTATGAGTAGTGAGGTGAGAATGAGGAGGTGAGTATGACTATAGTGGATGAGGATAGTGAGATAAAGATAGTGAATAACAAAATATGACTAGTGAGGGGAGAGTGAAAGGATAAACGTGAATTAACAGAGGACAAGAACGGTGAGATAATGAAGGTGAATGATAAAAATGGGGAGAGAGTGAGGGGGATGACTATTTGAAAGTGAATGGGGATGGTATTTGGGCACTTTAGTGAAGATGATTAATATGAGTTTAAATGACTCTGGCAGCACGTGGAAGTGATAATGATAATGGAAGTATTGTTAAACAGCTATTTCTAAAGTGAATTAATACGATGAATATTGAAACATACATTAATTTGTCACAGTTAATGATGATAGTGTCTGCTTAATTAATATAATGACGAGAACATGTTTGTGTGTTTGTGCGTGTGTGTATGTATATATATATATATATATATATATATATATATATATATATATATACATACACACACACACACACACACACACACACACACACACACACACACACACACACATATATATATATATATATATATATATATATATATATATATATATATATATATATATACATATATATATACACACATACACACACACACACACACACACACACACACACACATATATATAAATATATATATATATATATATATATATATATATATATATATATATACATATATAATAGTTTATAAACAATGCCTATAGGCATCCTATGGTGATGCTTGTATTGTTAATCTACATAAGATTTCATTTCATTATACTCTTAACACTATTATGGATGATACATTACTAATTAATAGTGTAATTAACAGAAATGGGGATTTACCTGGTAATTACTTTATAAGCGTTACTGAGGCTTTACCTTTGACAGCATTAAGATAATTTCTACTAGAGATAAATCACACTGGAAAATATTCATTACAAATAACAGTTTATTATAATTTTGATTATGACAATTTCGACATCTATCCCATGACACGAATAGTTACAGAATTGTGCAGTAATGGTGGCAATGACTGACAGAATCAGTACTGATTAATATAATGGACAATCAGATTAGGAAATGATCACATTACCCCTAAACTAGTGTCATTATCCCAACACTAATTGTTAGAAATAGTTCATGAAAGATATGGTAAACATGTGCAATTAGGCTTATCTTTTTTATCTAATGAATATGTTCGTTTCACATTTTCTATCTTTTTTTTCTCCTTTTTTTCTATTCTTGCTATTGTTTCGTTGTTATCCCTTTTTCTATCTTTTAAGTTAACATCTCATCCTCTTCTCTTGATCTTTATTTCATAACCTTTCATTTTTCTTACACTTTCGTAATTATTTTCTAATTTCTTTTTTCCTCTTCTTCTCCATCTTTCCCCTTTGCCGTTTCTCATTCCTTTCCTTTCGTTCCCTATGTCTTCACTGAATATTTTTTTTTTCTTTCCTACTTCTTCCTATTCCGCCATTTTCTTCTATTCTTCCCCATTCCCTTTATTTTATTCCCCTCCCTTTCCCCGTGTCTTTCTTTTGCCATTCTTAACATCTCCCTTTTAGTCCTTCCCCCTCTCCCTTTTCTTCTTTTTCTCCAACATTCCCTCAATCCTCGCTTCTTCTCGTCGCCTTCCCCTTTTTTCCTTTCATCCTTCCCTCCTTTCCCTGACCCTTCGCTCCATATATCTCTCACACCTTCTCCTTCCCCTTCCTTTCTCCTCAACATTCATTTCTTCCCTTGATCCTTCCCTCATTCCCTCGTTCTTCCTTCAGTTTTCTTCTTACCCTTTTCCCCTCCTTCATCTTATCCCCTTCTTTTCTCTAACTTTTCCTCCCGTTTTCTCCCTCTCCTTCCCTCTCTTCCTCTCCCTCTTCCTCCCCCTCTCCTTCCCCCCTCTTCCTCTCCCTCTTCCTCCCCCTCTCCTTCCCCTTCTTCCTCTTCCTCTCCCTCTTCCTCCCCTTTCCTCCTTATCCATCTTTCCCCTCACTTTTCCCTCATCCCTCCTTCCCTTCTCTCCATTCGACCCCCCCCCCCATCCCCACCCACCCACCCATTCCCTCCCCCCCCCCCCCCTTTCACACCTCAAGAAACGATCACTCCTTCCCACTCACCTGCCGAAGCATACTGATGGTTGAAGGCGGCGCTGGAGGCCGGGTCGAAGTAGACGTCCTTCCTGTCGACCGCGTGGTGTCCCCCGACGGAGGCGTGGCAGGCGACTTGGGCCTTGTTCCGGATGAAGAAGTCCGGGGCGAACCAGTGGACGCCGACCGTCGAGGTGATGCGGCCACGTCGGTCCTCAATGTCGCGGAAGTACTCGATGTGCTTTGGCCCGACCTTGGAGGGGGTGGGGGGTGAGGGGGTGGGGGAGAGGTAGATGGTTAAGCAGGTGGCGAGAAAGAGAGAGAGGGGGGGGGAAGAGAGAGAGAGAGAGAGAG